TTTATAGTAATAAACACAGTGAATCTTCTAAAATTCATAACTAATTCAACCGAGCTCCGTTTAAGCCCATTCAAGTCTCAGTAAATTAAGAAAAATGTGTAGAATCCATTAAAAATGGTTTTGTTCTCTGTTTCAGTAGTCTTATAGCCTGTTTGCAATGTTTGCCTTGTATGTCGCTAGATTCCGGTTCGTCCGACGCTCCGATGTACTTCGAAATAGTCGCCGAGGTTCCTCCTGCAGCAGAGCAAGACAAGTCATGCTTGTCACTTGAACATGTTGATCCTATATTGCAAATGCTCTATTGTTTTCCTTCAAATATTGCATCGTTTTATAATGTTACTATGGGATGTTTACCTATTGTCATAGCCATGCTATTGTTCTACCATGTCTCTTTGTCAGCTTGGGGTTATAACATGACTAGAGATTGGACTAGGGATTGCTTAGCCATGCTTAGTTCAACTAGTGCACAATGGGGAAAACCTTATTAATGTTTAGACTGTTGGTTCTAATGGTATTGTTGGATTAGTGCCACCGCTTTGTGTTGGTGTGGGTGCATGGTTTTGCTGGTCGCATCCATGGCAGTTAAGGACCGGTTCGCGGGATGCCCTGGAAGAACTTATCGTACTTATCACAAGCCAGCGTGGGCAACGGCTGGGCTTGTAGTGTAGCTTTCCTCTAGCCGACGCATCTAGGCAAGGGTGGGCGTGGTGGAGTTCGGATGGGCCCTGCGACGGCCTATGCGGCTTCCGGATTCACCTAGGCACGAGAGGGGACTGCCCGCTGCCTTGCGAGGAGTGGGGGTGAAACCTGAGGTGTGGTGTGCTTGGTTAGAGGGGGGTTATGCGAAGGGTCCTGTCACGGCCTCTTTCTGGTATGTCGTGGTGGCATGTCGGCGCACGGGAACGTGTCGTGGGGCTGTGTCTTGTGGGTACAGTTGTACACCTTTGATCAGAGTAAAACTATTCGAATTGCCGTGCCCGCGGTTATGGGCGGTCAACCAGATTCACCGTGATTAGTCTCACCCTAGTGTAATCTTTTGAATTTGGATAGTTTAGGTGGATGGTTGGGCCTGTCGCAACGTGGGATAGCGTTGGACAGTGGATAGTTAATATTAATTAATTATTACAACCGTTTAAATCTTTCAACTTCTGTTTATAAATGCTCATTTTATGCAAATGAACCACTCTAGCTCTCCTTTGATAATTCCCTGCATCATACCCCTATTCCGGTATGACTTGCTAAGTACAATGGGTAGTACTCAGTCTTGCTCTATTTTTCCCAACCCCAGAGCACGAGTACGTGTCAGATGAAGGTTTCTCCGAGGAGTAGGCTTCGTCCGTGCCGTCGAGGATGCCTATGGAGTGGTGTTCCCGCTGCAGATCTAGTCAAGGCTTTGCTCCTGTTGTCTTTTGTTTTTCTGCTGCATTTATGTAAGTCTTTTATGGTGTTTGTAAGACGTGGATCTGAATGTCAATATTGTCGTTTGTGTACCCCGGCCGGTCCTGGACGGAGAATTTAATGCACATTCTGCTTAGAATTCTATTCGGGAATTTCTGGGCGCGACATCGACATCGTTTGATTGATTTATCGTTTGAGTTGATGTCGATTCTCCTCCACTTTATTGTCATTCTCTGCAATAGGTTAGTATACCTAATACTAGTGGAATATTATTATTCTAACAGATTATATGCATTGCAAGCATCACTAGTTCTCCTCTATTTGGTAATATTGACCGGTCAAAACTAATTGATAACGACCGTCAACAGTGATGTGCATGGAAGCTGTGTACTAACTCACTAAATTTTCAGCATAGCTAAGCACATACCCAGTTTGGCGTAGCCTATTAAACTGTCGAATTAGAGTTTGAAACCCCTCACGCCCGAACTTAGCACAAACTGCCTCACAGAATTCACCCCAACTTATCAAATCTACGTGAGCATTAGTAGATTGCAACCAAGTCAAATCTCCACCTATGAACTGCAAGGCGGCTACTCCCACCCACACATCTGATCTAATACCACTCACTTGGAAGTAAGTCTCACATTTCAATTTCCATGCTCTAGGATTCTCTCTATCAAATTGAGGACAGTCCACTCACGGATTCACACCACCATAAGGAAATCCCCCAAAATTCCGCCCCACTGAATCCCCAAAATCACGTCCATTTCGAGAAGCAAATTGAGGAGTAAATGTACCCTTGCCCGGGAGAGACAATGGAGAGGTATTCTCCCCAATCGCCTTTCCCCGGAGTGAAATTCCCGCGCGGTGGCCTAACGGCCCGTGACCCATGTCACCATGACTTGGACAAGTCTCCTCCTCCTTCGGCAGCGGACGAGATCCTGGCGATGTGGGAAGCAGCGGCGGCCGCTCCGCTGGCTTGATAGCACTGGCTTGCTGTTTTGAGAGCTGATTCACTTGATGACGCAAGTCCCCAATATCCTCTCGCAACTCCACCACCGCCTTGTCTATGGTTGGCTTCCACCCCGCTAGCTCCACCACCATGGGCTTGATTTCCTCCAACAACCCCACCGAAGCTTGAGCTACGCACGAGAATGATAGCGTGGTTTCTCCAAGTAATCCAGGATCGATTGCTCTGATACCTATTGTTACGAACTCTGTTGATTTCTGGAAAGTTTCAGAGGAAGAAGATAGAACAGAGTCGAACAGGCGAAGAACACACACACAGAGAGAGAGAGAGAGAGATATTCAGACTTGGGGAAGGGGAAGAAGTATTCAGTTTAGGAGATAGTTCAGAATACAATTCATTCGACCTCTTTTCCCTTCCACCTACTGCGCTTATATAGCCGCGCGAATACATCAGCCCATGATCCATTCCGGCCTAGCGATTCTGACATTGGCCCACTTGATACGCTTAGGTCGAACTCGATGCTTCACCAGGTTCTCCTCTATTGTCGGATTGTCTACAGTAGACGTATGAGTAGTCGCTGCCGTGAGACTAACACACTAAAAAATACATCTTCACATTGGATTTGAATTTAAAATCACACACGAAAGCTATGAAGGCTCTCTCACACCAAGGTGTATAGGCGACTCAAAGGGAGACCTCTCACCAAGCATCCACCCCTTATTATTGTCCAATGTGGCTGAAATCCCCTAACTAAGACAATGTCACAAATGCTCTTAGGGCAAAACACTAGCTCAGATAAAATCTGGGCCATCCGTTGTTCCTCCACTTCAAAGGAAAAGCCTCATATCACTGACATGTAGCTAGCCACAACATGTCCGCCACAACAAGTCCACCTTTTCCACGGATGATCCGCGCCGCTACTACCCACGCATGCCTTGGGATCAATCTCGACATCGCGCGCCCCAATTACCGATTGCCACGGCTCCGCCTTTCTCCTGCATGCGCGTGGGCCCTCCAGCCAGTGGGAGATGCCGCGTGCGCCAGTCGGAAGGAGCCACATCGCCTGCGCTCTCCCGAGACAAAAGCCGCCGGGTGGCCGGTACGGCCCCACGCCTCACGATTGGAGGCCACGTCCACTCCGAGTGGACCCCATGCCCGCGCCACGTTCTCTTCACGTGCCGTCCTGGGTGGGCTCACCTGCCAACTAGAGGAAGATCCCAACTAGTTGGTGCCATGCGTCCCGTGCTCTTCCGCTTGAGCCTGCGTGCATACGGTGTTGGGCCGTGCTAGGCCAATCCGGTGGTGGGAGAGGAGGTTGTCTTGGGCTCCAGTGCTTGGCCCGCCTCCCTCTTTCTCTGTGTTTTCCCTTTTCTTGTTCTTCATCAATTTTCTTGGCACACTTGACATTGTGTAGTCTGTTGTGAAGTCCTTCCACCACATTATTTATCCAGCATGCACCGTCTTGTACTCAACTTTGTTACCCGACATCCTTGGCCGTTTTGGACTTCGACTCCTCCCTGAGTTTAGTCTCGATATGCCATTAATTGACCAAGGTTGACCGCCAATGATCGTGACGTCCGTACAACCCTGTCACATAGTATCCCAACCACACAAGACTAATACTCCTCCTTGAGCATAGACCTAGTTATGCCATTGGCCAAGGTTGACTTGCATTACCTATAGACATGTAAACGACCGTTGTTTGTGTATAGATAACGCAACCTGACCCACGTTAGTCCACGTACACATTTCCTGTACTTCCAGCACTTGCCAATTTTCCATCACAATGAATCAAAACCACACGTGGTTTCACAGTTTCTCATGTGTGGTGATAAGAGCTCCAATGACTTCGTTCCCATCACCTTTGTGCTTGATTGCTTGCTTGTAGACTTTTTCCTTTCCACGGCAAGGTTTTCCTTCGGCTGCAGGCAGTCAAAACAATGGTGGGTCGACGAACGGTGTAAAACTTGAAACCATATGCATGACTAAGACCTAACTATACACGACGCGTTGGACAAAAAATGAAGGATGTAAAACTGAACAAAACAATGCTAATCCTGAAATTAAAGATTATTGATAGCTGTCACTATAGTTTTAGAGCTGTTTTCCAATTATTTTTGTCTTTGATAAGTCGGATTTATCAAAGCATGGATTTAAATTTGCAAGGCCTTCTGACCGAATTGCTAAAAAAACTGTCACAAATTTTTTGGGCAAAAAACTATAATGTATAACTATAGTATCTTTATAGTGTAACTACAATGTATAAGTGCACTCTAAAGGCATTGTAATATCAATATAAGTTAGATATAAAGTTGTATATTTTATTTTAATATATATTATATAGTTATAGTATAGGTATAATGGAAGTATAATTGTAGATTTGAAAGCTTTTTCCATAAAATACTTGCGGCAGTTTTTAGATAGTCCCTTAAATTGATTGTGGAGGGTAAAACACATGCTCTATATATCGTTATCAATAGTGACGGGTCTGGTTAACCAGCGCGTGCAATTAGTTGACCGGTATTTTGCACGTGCATATACTCTACATATTATACGAATATATAGGAGGTCGTGTACGTCTTTAACAAGCCACGCAGTGTTAAAAAAGAAAAAACAAAGCCACGCAGTGTTGTTTCAGCAGAGAGAGAGAGAGAGAGAGAGAGATGCGTTCTTCCAGAGGTGTCATTCGCCATTCCGTGTGGTGTCTGGTGTTTGTATGGTCATGGCGGGTTGCAGCAGCTCAGGATCAACAAGCACCAAAAACTGATCCAGTCGAAGGTAAGCAAGCCAGCAATCATGTACGGTGTGTATTGACGCACCACGTATGTCTATCTTCTTTCGTTTTTTGACATTTACATATTTAAGATGTGAAATTTAATAAATTATCATCTATAGTCGATGACATGTGAGCACTCATATATCAATAACCTAAAAGTGACGAATAGTTAAATGTCTCTTGGTTTTCCTCCATGCGTATAGTTAGATTGCAGGAGTAGTAATTTGTGGTTGTGCTCGATATATGATGTCCCTCGCACTACTACAGAACACCTGTTAGAGCACCTGTTAGAGCATCCCCAGTAGATACTCTCTCCCGTCCTCCTTACATGAAATAGCGTATGGTGGGAGAAAATCCACCTCTGTAGCGGATACGCCGTTTGGGCATCCAAAGATAGCTCATGCGCTATCCCGAAGAGAGAAACGCCGGATATGGTCTTTCTCTCTCCTCACGCAATTCCACAACTGCTGCTCCCACCCTCATCAGATCGAGCTATGGAGGGGTGAAGGAATGAATGTAGAGAAGAGAGAGAGGATGCGCTAGTGGCCACCTTAGTCGGCCGGTCCTGAGCGTCGCCCCATGATCATATGAGCCGGCCACTCCCGACATCGGTCACATGCGCCTGCCCTGCACCCACCGTCGGCCAAAGCGCCACGCGCCCACATATCCGACTCTGCCCTCCCCCCTCCTTCTATAGACTCCTCTAAGTAGGCAGACGCCCGTGGCATCTCCCCTGCCGTCCTCACTGCTCCTGCGCTTGTGACTTCTCCCCCCGCCACCCGTGCCGACCCTCCGCACGCCTGCTCGCGCCGCTCCTCCGCCCATGCCGCCAAGCCACTTCTCTCCCCATCGCGCGCCCTGTTACTCCCACCCATTGAACTACCCGTCGGTGGTCAGCCCTCCTCGTATGTCCTTCCCATCCTCTCAGGCTCTCAGCATTGGATATAGAAGAGAGAGAAAGGTGAGGAAGTTTTTTTAGAGGTTGAATTATCAAATTTCTCAACAGTTCTTCTCATACATTGTCTATTTTTGATTTTTGGGAGTGTTGAAAGGTAGTTGAAAGATATTAGTAAAATATAGGTTTTTGGTACATGGAGAATGTAATATGAATGATCTATTGGAATCAAAAGGAAAATGGAGTAGGAAACATTTTTGAATGGCCATCCAAATGGGAATATGGAGGATGAAATTTGGATAAGCTGGGGATGCTATTAGGGAATGATACATGTATAGGTGCCGGTTTCTATTGAGAAAGAGTTAGAGGAATTTGATTTCATTAATGACCTAGCTATCATCCATATGATTATTAGTGGTGAGTTAATTAGTAAACATCATCCATGAATGCAGCGGTGGCCCTGAACACGATCATGAGGAGATGGGGCAAGGAGGCATCATCGGAGTGGAATGTTAGCGGTGATCTCTGCAGCGGTTTCGCCGCTGACAAAAACGACTGGGATTACTATCCCAACATCAACCCATTCATCAAATGCGATTGCACTTTCAGCAACAACACACTATGCCGCATTACAAAACTGTACGCACACTCTCTTTGGGCAACACCTAATAGCTCAAGCACATTTTTTTATAGGTATTACTTGTCTGTTGTTATGAAGGAGGGTAAATAAGTTGGACGTGGTTGGTCAAATACCTTCAGAGCTACAGAATCTCACCCGTCTAGAGAACTTGTATGGTATCTAAGTCTTTTTCTTCTTAACTAGTCCTGCTACTAAAGTTACGTTATAGATCAAGTTTTTCACAGACTAAAAATTCAATCACACAAATTCTCTTTGTGAACAGCAGGGTACATTTCAGTCAGCCATGCAACATCCTTTTTATGTTGGCTAATTGTTCTACTTTTTTATGTTGTTTTCAGGGACTTGAACTATAATTACTTGACTGGTTTCATTCCATCATTCATCGGAAAATTCACTTCGATGAAATACTTGTAGGAGTTACATGTTCTATATCATGTTTCATCCATTGATCGTTATTGTTTCTTAACTATTCTTAATTATTTAAAGGGCATTGGGTTTCAATCCACTATCTGGACCACTTCCAAAGGAACTTGGAAACCTCACCAATCTTATTTCATTGTAAGAAATATTTTCTCATATGCGGATTAATCTTCAGCTGCTCCTTCTGTTCCAAATTACTCATCATTTTTCCGTTGTCCTATGTAAAATATCAAGAAGTTGTTTTTTTAACCAATTGAGTATGAATTATATATTGTCACAATATTTCTCATGATGAATCTAAAAATATATATATAAATCTAACTATGTTAAACTATACTCATTTGTAAAACTTGATAGCCAAGAGTACATATATTTGACTTGCAACAAAACTTGAATAGTAGGTAATACGAAAGAAAATGGAGTATATAAACTACTACATAAAACATCATAGGTGTCAGTTTTCCAACCGGTACCAGGAAGACAGCACTGATTACCCGGGGTCAAAGGTGCCGGTTCGAAAACCAGCTCCTTTTAGGCGCACACGAGCAAAAAATATCAGCTCGATACATTGAGCCGTCAAGCCGATCCCAACTAAAACCCATATCTAAAAATTGCCTCAAATCCATGAACTATAGTCAATAATCCCTAGAAAAACAACACAACTAGATCAAATAATACACATCTAGATCACATCTACATTAGCAATAGATCACATCTATATCAACAAATCACAAAGAGGGAGGGAGGGGAAGAGACGGATCTACTGGCTGCCGACGCCATCGCACCTCCTCCACACCGGCTGTCGTTGCCGCGCCGCACCTCCAGCCTGCTAGATCCCCACAGCCGAGGGGCCAGCACCACCACACCACCAGATCCAGCACAGGCCGCCTCCGTCCCACTGCCATGCCCCCCCCCCCCCCGCTCCCGTGCTGCCGCCGTGATGGATGGAGGAGAGGAGAAGGAAGAAGTGGAGAGGAAGATAGAAGGAAGAAGAAGAGAGGAGGAAGAAGAGAAGAGGAAGAAGAGAGTGGACTGGTGGGTGGTGGTGTGGTGGGTTCAAGCACACCGGTTCTTCTCGGCTCGTTTTACTGAAAAACCATCACCTATAATATATTTTAGGTGTCGGTTTTTAATTAACTGACATCTATATTATACGTGTCGGTTTTTCTCAAAAACAAGCAACTATAGTCCCTTAAAGGTGTTAGTTTTTTATGTTTTCAGCCTGGGGAGGTGGGAAAAACACTATAGTTACCGGTTTTAGCTAGTCTGGCACCTATAGTGTTGATCGTCACCTATAATATATTTTACGTGTCGTTTTTTAATTAACTGACACCTATATTATACGTGTCGGTTTTTCTCAAGAACAAGTACCTATAGTCCCTTAAAGGTGTTAGTTTTTTATGTTTTTAGTCCTAAGGAGGTGGGAAAAACACTATAGCTACCGGTTTTAGCTGGTATGGCACCTATAGTGTTGACCTGATGTGCATTTTTTTGTAGTAAGTGATATTTGGACTCCATGAACTAATATAATAGTACAACAAATGGCAATCGCATAAGTTCGAGCAATAAAGTAATAAAAAAATCATAACTACTACTCAGTACTAAATATTATGTAATAGGCACGTCAATGTAACTTCCCTGTTCATGTGTTGTTTCAACTTTCAAATGATCAACTAAAGTTGATCGAACAGCAAAAACATGAACATATTGTCATGATGAATATTGCGGGTCAAATGGCACATCGGGAAAAACTATGCCCCTTCCTGCTATTAGTTGATGATAATAATTTCTTATCTTGAAATATTTTATTTTCATTTAGGGGCATTAGCTTAAACAATTTCACAGGTGGCCTTCCTGAAGAACTAGGCAACTTGACCAAACTTAAGCAATTGTAAGATACTCCATTGATTTCTAACTTCATATTTCTATTTCTATAAGAATTAAAATTTGGAATGGCCAGATCTATTGTTGAACATGACAATAACAAACTTTCAATAACAGGTACATTGATAGTTCTGGATTCAGTGGTCCGTTCCCTTCAACGTTCTCAAAACTTCAGAACCTGCAGATCCTGTATAGTCAAAAGCATAGCCTCAGCTGTTATATTCGTCATGCTTTCATGATAAATGACATTTTGGTGTGCTTGCAGTCTAGCATCAGACAATGGATTCACAGGGAAAATACCTGATTATTTAGGTAGCATGACTAATTTGGAAGAAATGTAAGATTATTAATATTAACTTATTAACATATCTCATATGTTCTATCCTATTTTTGAGAGAGATGAATTTGTGCAAGATAAATTATTCTGTATATCATGTTCTTTCCATTCAGACTTATAAACAATAGATTTGCTCCGCTCCAACAAAAAGTATCTCGAGATACCGGTACCTCACAGTACCAAATCGTTTTTGATTTTTTGATCTAACAATGCTCATCCTACCTAGCTAAATCTAACGATCATAAACGACTTATTACCATGAGGTACCGGTACCTCGATGTACTTTTTGTTAGACCGAACTAAATTTCTATAAACAATTGCATTTTCACATTTCAGTCCTCGCTAGATAGAAATGAATAAAGCTGCATCACAGTAACTTGTCCAGGTGGCATATACATACGTAGTGATTTTATTAAGACTGGTCACATATAGAACTTTTATATCTTTTTCTTATTTTAAAATGTGCAATGCCCTTTTTCTAAAATTATGAGATTGTAGTGCTTTCCAAGGAAATTCATTTGAAGGACCAATCCCAGAAAGTTTGTCTAATCTGACCAAATTAACAACCTTGTAAGTATACTCTTTAGGTGACATTGTATACTCTTGAAGGTTGATAATGTCAAGGCTGATAACTAATTTATGAAAAATATAAATGAGCAGGCGGATTGGAGATATTGTAAATGGGATCTCTCCATTGGCTCTTATCAGTAATCTGACTTCTCTGAACACCCTGTATGTGATGATTTCAGCTATAAAGCTTACAGTATATTGTCTAGTTGCAAGTTACCACGGTTGGATTTCATTGTTACAGAATATTGAGGAACTGCAAGATATATGGTGATCTCGGAGCAGTAGATTTTTCTATGTTTGAAAAGTTAAGCTTGCTGTAAGTTTTCAATTACAGGCCATGGTGCCAATTGATGATATTATTAATCATTAACTCAAGTTCTGTACCATATGTTCAAGTAATATGGTTGTCATGTGGTACAGGGACCTAAGTTTTAACAATATCACAGGGAAAGTTTCTCAATCCATCCTGAATTTGGGAAATCTACAGTTCTTGTAAGAAATTCTTTTTACATTAATTTGTTGATAGAAGCTCCTATTAAGCAGATGAACATGTTCGATCATCTTGAATTGTGCCCAATTCAGGTTTCTTGGGAACAATAACCTTGCAGGAAGGTTGCCTGATGGTATAAGCTCTTCCTTAAAAGCGATGTATGTCAAATACAATCGACATGGCATTATAGCACAATTTACTTTCATAATGGAATATATTAACTCCTGTATAATCTAATTCTGTAATGTTTACAGAGATTTTTCGTACAATCAACTCACTGGGAGCATTCCTTCTTGGGCTAGCCAAAACAATTTACAGTTGTAAGTGTAATATTATGATATCTGTGTTGCTGAGAAAAAAATAGATATTCTAATATTCTGTTTTGTGAAAGGAATTTGGTGGCAAACAACTTTTTACTCGGTAGCACCAGTAACAGGTACATACTAATTGTGACATTTAGTTCTAATTTTGCTAGTGCACTATACGAATTTAGTTCTAATTCTTATAATTTTGCTATTGCACTATAAGAATGCTTGCTGACAACTTAAATTTTCAATCCAAATTTGCACAGTAGACTACCTTGGGGGCTAAACTGCCTCCAACAAGACACTCCTTGTTTCCGTGGATCTCCAAAATGTACATTTCTCAATCTTCATTGAACCAAAGACAATAATATGAGCTAAGGAATTTTAATGATTGTTACAATTTTGTGATCGTAGATTATTCTTTTGCGGTTGACTGTGGTAGTAATACATCAACGAGAGGATCAGATAATACCATTTATGAAGCAGATCCTGCAAATCTTGGAGCTGCAACATATTATGTTACTGGTCAAACAAGATGGGGTGTCAGCAGTGTAGGACACTACTTCCGGGCCACAGATGCAAAGAACATTATATATAGTTCCCAAAATTTTAACAATGTAGTTGATTCAAAGTTGTTTGAAACTGGAAGGGTGTCGCCATCATCTCTGAGGTATTACGGCCTTGGACTTGAAAATGGAAATTACACAGTTCTGCTTCGATTTGCAGAAATTGCTTTTCCGGACTCACAGACTTGGCTAAGCTTAGGGAGAAGAGTTTTTGACATATATATTCAGGTACCAATCAAGTGCATTTTATATAATGTTTTTCTACTTAATCTTATCATTCTTTATCTGAAACTATTATTGACATTTACATAGGGTGCTTTGAAAGAAAAGGATTTTGATATAAGGAAGACGGCAGGTGGAAAGTCTTTTAGCGTTGTTAATAGGAGTTTCATGGTAACTGTGTCTAAAAATTTTCTCGAGATCCATCTATTCTGGGCTGGTAAGGGCGGGGGAATCTATGGGCCAATGATCTCAGCATTGAGTGTCACTCCAAGTAAGCGAAACATTATATATAGTATCAGGAAGTGCTACACCAGCTGCCAAGAAATAATATTATTCCTTTGTAGATTTTACTCCTACTGTGCGAAATGGCATACCAAAAAGCGAAAGTAAAGTAGGTATAATTGCCGGAATATCTATTGGTGCAATAGTTTTAGTATTAGCAGCATTATTTGGAGTGTTTACGCTGTTAAAGAAGCGGAGGGCATTGGCATATCAAAAAGAAGGTATTATTTGTTAGTACATAATTCAAACATCAAAATTGTCAAATGAATAATCTTCTCATCTGTCCTAAAAATAACATGCAGAACTGTACTATTTGGTTGGACAACCTGATGTTTTCAATTATGCTGAGCTCAAGCTAGCCACCGACAATTTCAGTTCTCAAAATATCCTAGGGGAAGGTGGATTCGGGCCGGTGTATAAGGTTCTTGTTTCCCATAATTAATCATGTACAATTGGATATAAATTAATGTGATTTGGCTTTTGAGTGTTGCATTTTAGCAATATTTTGTCCATGCTCAAAATATACATGTAACAAATTTGGCAGGGTAAGCTACATGATAAAAGAGTTATAGCTGTGAAGCAACTTTCTCAGTCATCTCATCAGGGGGCAAGCGAGTTTGTGACAGAGGTTGCAACAATTTCGGCCGTGCAACATCGGAATCTTGTGAGATTGCATGGATGTTGTATTGACAGTAAAACACCCTTGTTGGTTTATGAATACCTTGAAAATGGAAGCTTGGATCAAGCAATCTTTGGTGAGTTCACATCTGCAAAATAGCATGCACACCTGCAGCACTAATAAAACTATATTTGTTTAATTCACAAATAAATATTTTTGTTTCATGAATAATAGTTGAGGATTTTGCCTTTTTCTGCATTTTGTTATAATTTGCATTCATGATATTAATAGAGCTATTTCTTCTTGTAAAGGTGACAGTAGCTTAAACCTAGACTGGGTAACACGCTTCGAAATCATTTTAGGCATAGCAAGTGGTCTAACTTATCTTCATGAGGAGTCAAGTGTGCGCATTGTGCACAGGGACATCAAAGCCAGCAATGTCTTACTTGACACTGACCTCACCCCAAAGATCTCTGATTTTGGACTTGCCAAACTCTATGATGAGAAGCAAACTCATGTGAGCACTAGAATTGCAGGCACATTGTAAGAACATTTTACCACTGATCTTCTTATGATTGTAACATCAATATGAATCCTACTATTAACTTGTCTTATATTTTTAAGGGGCTATCTAGCTCCAGAGTATGCAATGAGAGGCCATTTGTCAGAAAAGGCTGATGTTTTTGCATTTGGAGTGGTTATGCTGGAGACTGTCGCTGGGCGACCGAACACGAACAATTCCCTGGAGGAAAACAAGATCTATCTCCTTGAATGGGTAAGCTGGTTTACAAACAACCCATATAAGAAAACATCAATTCATTGTGTATTTTCATTCGTTTACTGAAACTATGTTCAACAAAAGGCATGGGGCATGTATGACAAGGATCAGGCGCTCGAAATTGTTGACCCAACTATCAAGGATTTTGATAAGGATGAAGCTTTTAGAGTCATCAATGTTGCACTTCTCTGCACTCAGGGCTCACCGCACCAGCGACCACCAATGTCGAGGGTCGTGGCAATGTTGACTAGAGATGTCGATGTGCCTAAAGTGGTCACGAAGCCAAGCTACATCACTGAGTGGCAGCTCAGGGGTGGTGGCAACAACGGTAACACCTCCAATAGCTATGCAGGATCCAGCTACCAGCCCGAAGTTCAGTAGGGAAAAGATATCACCAAAGTTTGTCTCCATTGAAGGTGAATTTATAGTAGAAATTATCCGGGCTATCGACATTGGGTTCAAATGACAATATTGTAGATCCCTTTTTTAACATAATTTTGTGTCCGCGTGAGTTAGAGCAAATATTGGAATTACTTATCCTGAACTCTTTCATGGTAATAATAATTTGCTTCTAATAATTTGTAAATAGTGAATAACCGTGGTGTATTTACTACTTAAAAGAAGCTAGTGGATAACCCTTAATATGTAATGGCCAGTGCAACGCTTAGGTAAAATTTTGTCCTAATATTTATGCGCACTGTTATGGTATAGTTATACAATGCAGTAGGTGTATTGTCCACTTTTTAACGGGTTAAGCTTTGTATTCAAATCTATGGGGACCCCCGGTTTTAAACACCGGTAATCCCATGTGTCATATAGTACTATTCCCTGGATAAGTAAGTAGTACACACATAGCACAATATAATATCACAACTGACATCGTTTACAGGTATTTCTACATTAATAATACATGGGTATCCCAAACGGGTCCCAAAATAGACCAAGCATGCTCACATACATTACAAAATGCCAAGTAAAATAAATGAAACAGCGGAAGCAAAGCGGCGGCGGTCCATCGAACTCCACAGGCAACGTCTCGTGAACCTATGGTCCCTAATCCATCGTCTTCGACACGTACTTGACAGCAGCGTTGGATGAATATAACCGACTCCAACTCCTTTCTAAAAGATTTAATTAAGCAAGGGTGAGTACATACATACCCAGCAAACCACCACTTCAAAATGAATCTAATGCACACCGGGGTTCAAGGATGGCTTGGTTTATTTGCATAAAGCTAGTTTTTACAATTCATTTCACAAACCTATGACCTAGCAGTTTTAACTCGAAAACAACGTTAACGTTGAAGTTGTAATTATCCAGGGTTCATCCACCTCTCCAAGCCTCGCTCGGTTCAGTTTACCCTCACATTCATTTTATAGCAACTCTATCATACCAACCTTCCCACGGGTTGGGCAAGGTTCTCATGTCTCACAATTTCTACACTAAGCAATATTAAAATCTATGAGTCTAGTCAAGGGTAGTATAGGTCCCGGCACTCATTAACCGCGATTACGGCTATTCGAATAGATTGGTTTACTCACACTGTATTAGATGTACGCTTTTTATCCCGCACTCCGCGGCTTGCACAATACATGAGCCTAGTCCCAACACATGAGACTTGTCACGGCCCGACTTTTCAGTCGCTCTTGCATTTCGGCACTCGCTCCAAGGACTATGAGCCCCCATGCACCCCTACAGTCCAACCTACCTACTGCCGGATGGTGAGGGGAGTCCTGGCGCTCCAGGGATTAGGAGATATTTACTACATATATACTTATAGAGTGTATTTTAGGTTTTACGTGTGCTTTTACCTTTCCGACACCGGACTCATCCACATCGTACTCATACAGAACCTACCATGACTGGAGTGTCGCCCCACAAGAGCTTCCTAGTCCGTCGGTCTGCCCATACATAAGAAATGCAATCGTACTCGGTTCATTTCCCGTATAACTTCCTGACTCGGTCCTTAACTGTCGAAGGTCAGCGACTAACCGTTTCCAAAACCACTCATATTTTACTCATGCCGCCCTAGTCGAAATAGTTTTGTTTTATTAAGTTTTGGTTTTCGCAAACGGTTTGTGTGTGGTAGGTGGCGCTCATGTCTCCACCCGCAAATCATAAATCACTCACATTGAGTGATCTCACATCCATATCCATATAATCTAAGTTTGGAGTGTACAAACGTCTACAATAGCAATACTAAGCAATGTCAATAATTGACTGCGTATAAATAAATAGACTTAGGCTACAATGGATATAAAAAAGTGTATAACGGTAACAATATCAAGGGTAGGCGATATTCAAGTATAGGTACGCAATTTATAAATAGCATGCAATTTTATTTGCAAGCAACACATTTATAAATATAGGCTCAATATGTTCAAGGAAGGGAGCGTAGTGACTTGCCATGCTATAGGTCCCTAATGCCTTCGAGAGATCTGTATCAGTTAGATGATTAGAATACCCACAATCGAAGAATAACCAGAATATTCACGCTCGATAAACGGCCCAAGAAGCCACACATAATCCTAAGGAAATAAAATAAAGCAACATTCAATACAAACTATGTGTGCCATTAAATATATCTCGATTTTAGAGAGATTGTGGAAATTGAACGGAGTCAAATGTAGTTATGGTTCACAAGATAAACGGAGTATCCTTTCCTCTCCTCCTTCGATGCAGCTGAATATTTACTAAAAGTTATATTTCGCTATTGCATTCCAGTAGTTCTTGTCCAGAGCATGCTGAAAGCCTTTGGTTGCAATTTCAGATCCATTCGGCAATTTGCCCTGGAAATACTTAAATTGTCAGTGAGTTCACAATTATTATTTGCTACAAACTGTTCCATTCTACAATAAGAGAGCAAATTAAATTAATCTCTAAACTGAAAATACAGGTTACACCTTTCTGCTCACAATCAAACTTCGGACTATATTAGTACCTTATAAACGGCGCTAAAATCACCTTGTCCCGCTTATATTTACTTGTAAAGTTATCTATGGCAAAACTCCTGGAAGGCTGGAAGGAAAGCATTAGGTGAGTTTTTCCAGTTCCAAATGGAAAAGATCTAGAAATTGAATAGATATTTGAAGATAATATGTATATCTCTTATGTTTTTCCACCTCTTTTTATAATTGCAATGCACAGGTAATGACTTCTTCTCATGCACAGGTAATGCCTATATTGAACCATATTGTAGAAAAGAGCTTCTTATCAGTATTCATATCTCACTGAAACCTCACTATACAAAATGAACTCTAGGCTAGTTTTTTACTCTGTCAGGTTAATTTTGTAAGAAAGATTGCGGAGCATTAGTGCTTTGAGATCCTTGATATTTTTTACAGTAGTATCAGTGATATTTTTTTTACACAAAAAAGTATTGTCACAACAAAGTTTTGTCAGGTTTGAAAGTGAAACCTGGAGCCTCTCATTTCTGGCAAGGAATTATGGATGTGAAAGAAGTGTTTTATAAATTCTGTACTAATGTAGTAGGCAATGGAAGGAATACTTTGTTTTGGGAAGATAATTGGATAGGAGGTAAACCTTTGGCTGAACAGTTCCGTGATTTGTACAATATTACTTTGACAAAAAAGATTACTGTGGCAGATGTGAAACAGGTGGGGATTGACTCTATTAAATTCAGAAGAGATGTCCTGGGGAATAAACTGCTGAAAATTAAGCAATCCTGGAGTGATTTGGTTCTGGAAGATGGAACCAGAGATACACTTCGGTGGAATTTGACCAAAGATGGGAAATTCACTGTTAAATCCTTTCACACAGCTCTGAAGATGCAACAGGTGATTTTCCCGCATAAAAAGATATGGGGCTTGAAAGTGCCTTTGAAAATCAAAATTTTTATTTGGATGTTTACAAAAAACAAGATTCTCACAAAGGACAATCTTTTCAAGAGGGGCTGGAGAAAAGGGAAGGCTAATTGTCAATTCTGTGACCAAACAGAAACTTTACAACCTCTTTTTTATTGCCCTTTAGCTAGACTGTTATGGAATATTGTGAAATGTGCCCTTAATATAAATTCTGTGTTGAATAGACAAGATCTGTTTGGATCTTGGATGAACAAGATTGATAAATTTACGAAAAAACTTGTGGTAGTGGGTCTTGCGGCAATAATATGGACAATCTGGAAATTTCGTAATAAAGCTTGTTTTGAGAAAAAACTCCCAGCTGATCCTACTGATCTGGTGTTTATGGCTTGCTCTTTGGTGGACTCGTGGGCAACTTTGCAGAAGCAGGAGGGAAGTCGAAGAAATCTTCAACTGGGGGCCAGGTTGCTAAAACAAGTGGTAAATGAAGTCTACAACTCGAAGCTCGGCTGGAGAGGAGGTGTTCGAAGGATTAGGTCATAACTCAGGAGAGGAAATGTTTACTGAGTATTTTGTGTGGATGGAATGAGCAAAGATAGCTCTGTAATAGACAATCTAGCTATGGTCTTTGTTTTTTTCTTTTGCATAAGGGTCGGATGTCCTCCCTCAGATGTTTTAGTTTTTATTTTTCTGTTTTCTGTTTAGTACTCTGGTAGTCTGACTTGATCTCATTTCTAGTAAAAGAAATGGGGGCTTCATGCCCTAGCTCAAAAAAAAAAATCAGTAATTAACTCTTCAGGGATCAAAATAATAAAGATTTTTGAAAACTGCGAAATACAAAATTGCAAGTTTGATCTGAAACTGCGGTGAATAATCCATTTTGCATTAACATTAGTGCAGTACATGTTATCATAGCTATGTAGTGGAATTTGGTACTTCTAGAAGATCTTAAACTGGATGACAATTACAACATCAACAATGTATAGTCTGGATAAAAAAATGGATTCAATTATGCAGTTCAGCATATTCAACTCTACAACTAAAATTCACTGAAAGTATCCCCTTACCTTTCTATATGAACAGAAATCAACTGCAAGGGTGAGAATAGAATGCAGGCTTGCGCTGGAGCATGGCAATGAAGATAATTTGTCGCTCAGCATTGCTGTGCGAGTGCACAGAGGAAGATATAGTGGTAGACATGGGGAGGGGAAGTGGAGCGGCGGTGGGCGCAGGGGAGCTGCAAGCCAGCGGCATGGCTGGAGAGGGAGAGGAGGATGTGCCGATGGATGGTATCAATTTCATAGGGCTCGCAGCATCGCTGAACATTTGGTGATTGGGAGCGCACTGATGTTCGCGGGGGAGACCAGACGCTGTCAGCCTGGCCAGATTTTTTTTTAATCCCCCGTGGGGTGTCTTTGTATTAAAGAAGAAGAGAATTGACCCAGTTTATAAGGAAAACCGGACCCGAAAACCATACAGCTGCACGGTTAATTATGGGAAACCGGCTGAAACCCACTGCACAGAGAAGAGAAAGGGACCTAGCTACACAACTAACAAAAACGGCGGAGCCTAACCACAGGATGTTGCTGCCAATCTAACACAAAAGCAACACAACAGCTTCGACTTCACAGAAGAGGTGTTATCATTGCCGAGCTAACCACCCAAGCGATCCAGCAGCGCCGGCTTCACAACTGCAGCGATAATGAAGCGAAAGTTGCCAAAGCGAAAAGCATCTCCGACATCTTACAATGGACATCAGCCAAGCCACCAAAGAGCCACTTCATTCACACGGCTAGCAC